TATGGCATTATAAAATAAAAAAAAAAAAAAAAAAAAAAAAAAATGAAAATGCTATATAGAGATACTATTGAAAATTCAAATAAAAAGCAAATGTGAACAAAATTATCTGAATATGGAAAAAAAGACATGTTTAAAACAGATAAAACATTTAGTGAGCTAGTAGAATTAATACTTCAAATTAAAGATATTCAAGAATGTGGAAAAAGTAAAAAAGGATTGTGATATTCTAAACATCTTCATCACTTTTTCAGCTTATTATCAGATAGTAGTAGAGAATATAGTATATTTTATAAAATGCTAGGAAGTATAGATCCATGATTTATTAGGTAATAAAATTATTATATATAATCAAGATTAATAAAAATAATATTATTAATAATATAATTTTTCATATAATAGATATTTACGTATTCGAAATAGTGACTATTTAACTAATCCTAATCTTATGTATGAGAATATAGCATAATTTGCTCATACTATGCAAGCTTTAAAATGGACAGGACCAGTAGTTGCTATAACAGATTGTACCAAAATTCAAACCAAATTAACCTATTCACAAGAGTTAGGATGTATAGTTGGATCAACTTTAGGTTTTGATATAAACATAACAATATATGATGATATACATTTAAAAATCAAAGAAATTCAAGATAATAATCTTATTGCATCACAAGTTAGATGTGTTGTTTTAAAGATAATTTATTATTTAATTCACTATAATAATTAATTTAATAATATAATATTTATAAATTTAAAATTTTAAAAGATTTCTATTAGCAAAATTCTACCTATCGTTATTGCTTTATTGCTAACAAAAGGAAATGATACAGCTCAAGTAATTTTTGCAATTTTAAAAAAAATTGTAGAAATGTCAATTTAAGCAAATATTAATTTAGTAAGTGTAGGTACAGATGGTGCAATTACTGAATATAATGCACAAATATTACTTATGCAAAATGTCAAAGTATCAGAATTTCTTATATATGACATTATAATTCATAACTATATTTTCGAGCTTCTATTTATTCTAAAAGACCTATAATACATGTTCAAGATTCAAAACATGCTAAAAAAAATAGAAGAAATGCAATTCATAGTGAAGCTCGTCTTCTAGTTTTGGGAAATAATACCATACGATATGATCAACTTTATCAACTTGCATATAAAGAAAATTCTGCACTATATATTCGAGATGTTATAAATATTGATAAGCAAGATGATGGTGCCGCATTTAGAATTTTTTGTTCAATATTTTTGACTCAATGTCAAAATAATAGATATTTAGATCATAATAAGACAGCTTTATTTGTATATCTTTTTATTTTTGGTAAACAAATCTTCAGATAGTTTTTTTGTTTAAAATTAATTTTAATTTTAAACTAAAACTAAATTTAATATATAGGAGAGTTGTTTGATTCATTTCTTAATCGAAGTATTTCTCATAAAACTAGAATTATAATAGCAATGCGTGCATATTTTTTTTTGCACATGTGGAAAAACTATATTAATCAATGCGCTACTATTCATTCAGCAAAATGGTATAATATAGATAAAAGTTGTATTTCAATACAAAGTTTTAATATATTTTGTAGCTTAGCAGAATCTTTAGTTTTACTTATTTTAGCATATAGAGATTTTTATCCAAACTATCCATTTTTTCCCTAGAAACATAGTACAGAAGCGCTTGAACATTTATTTGGAATTGCTAGACAATTAAAACTAGATTTTTCTTATTATGAATTATATAAAATATTGAGCTGAGTACAATATAGAGATAATATTTTATATTGTGAAAATATATCAAATATTCAAGAAAAAACATCAGCGTCAGGCAAATATAATTTAATTTTATTTTGTAATATATTTTTTTATACTTAGGTGATCTTGCCCTTCATTTATTAAGAGAAAACATACATGATGTTATAACAAAAATAAAACTAATCTATATTAGCTATA